GCGAGCTTCGCCACCACATGAGCTGGTCCTTGCCACTACAGGAGTCATTCCGCGTACTAATCGAATGTTCCACATAGAAAAGTAGAACGTGAAATGGTGCCAGAATAATTTTTTCCTTCCTCAGAGATGTTAGTTGTTCAACTCTTTTTTGTGACGTTTTCTTATGCATAAATATTAATGACAGTCACTGTACTGAACCTTAACTACCATTTTCAACTCTGTCCTTCTTTTCTGTTGTTGAAACGTTTAGTCCATCACTGATTCAAAGGCGTTGTCCAGTTTATATTTTAAATTCCAAAACCTTCGTCTCCAACTACACCGTTTAGACTATACTTTGGTTTATACCTAAATGCAGTAGTGATTGAGGATGTATGTCATTTTACCGGGTTTTATGGCATTGTTGCACCATCCATTTGCTTATAGACTCCTGGGGGACGGGTGTTTAGGCGAATTAGGGCTCTATGGCATTTAATATAAGCACCGACAATGCATTGATGCCATACGGCATTACTAATTAAAGTACGAACCGAGTACATCCGCACGCAGACTTGATGTTGTTGTTCAAGCAAAATATGTGCTCTACATATCACTAGATCTTATGTTTCACGTTCAGCTTTGTGCTTCTTTCTGTTGTTGAAGTTTCCGGCCAGTCATTGATCCGAAGACGCTGTCCATTAGGAAACTTTCGTTCTCAAAATGCCGTTTTATCTCAGAAATTTTTAGAATCAGTCACATGACTACAATGTTATTTTTTATATTACGTGTATTTTTTATTCTAAGTTCAGGATTCACTAATTTTAGAATCCAGCCATTTTATTAACATTAATAATGTTTCTTCATATCAGTACCATTAGTATGAGTATCATAAGTAGTAGTAAATACCGTATTGATAAATGTTATAAATGATTTAAGGCACCAAATGCAACAGATGGTAAAGCTTTTATTGCCAAGGCGTTTCGTAAGACGTTGCATCTTTAGGGTAGGCAGAGTACAAACGACACGTTAGAGATCGAAGAGCCGAAATATTTATAATGCTCCACTTTACCATGCCGTGCCAGCAATAGATCAGCTGTGTCACATGCAGAAGCCGTCAGGTTACGAAGCCTGTCCACGTGCTACTTACCAAAACAGTATCATTTGTATACTCCTAGAGCAAAATATTTAGCCTGATATTTTGAACTATGCTTTCCATTTAAAATGAAATCCTGCTCTCTCGATACTACTACTGTAGTAGAACGCATGCACTGCTACTAATTATATTACTGATAACGGTGATACAGTTACTTGTAAAACTTTTTCTGACCCCACTACTGAGCGTACCATTACTGACTGTGTACTACTTGTAATAGTATTGCATGACACTACCATAGATTGTAGTATTGTTGATAGCAGTAGCAGTGCTGTATGTAGAATACTGCTAAAAGTACTACTATTAAACATGATTTTTGGTTTTGATAATGAATAGTTCAAGCTAAAATCACAAATTGAAAGTTATGCATATGGTTGTTAAAATCTGGTGTTTATCTGCCACTTACTTTAAAATAGTATATTTTTTGTACAAGGCGGTTTTTTCTTGGCCATATCAGTTGTGCTGCAACGCAGACAGTGCTATGGCGTGCGTAGCGAAATGGGTCAGTGATAAAGTGTTAACATCTCCATTGTTTATTACCCTCAGCTGTATATTGGCAAGTCATCTGGAGCACAACAACTAATAATACTGCTCGTAGTTCGAGTATTTATGACACCAGTACTAGTAGTACTGTTTGTCATGATACAAGATTCTTAGTTGGTAATGCCATACCTATCAGAACTGCTAAACCTATCACCTCTAATAATAGCAATACCAGCAATGATGCTATTAGCAAAAAATACTGTTAATAGCAGTAGCAGTTGTATAAGTACTACTAGCAGTACTACTAGAGTAAATTTAATCATTAAGTCCGTTGCAGCGCATTCGTCGTTAGCTCTCTAAGCAGAGTGCTGAACTTTAATCTCAGCTGTGTTTTTCACCGTACTTCCTTGTAGTTATAAAAACGTTCATTACTACGTTGTTATGACTATGTGTTCTAGTTAATACATGTACTAGATTTCTTACAAGACTATGGAACTCTTGTCTGATGGCATGCAGGTGAGCGTCAGGGCTTCACCATATGCTACATAACGTAAGGCATCGCGAATATTGTTGATCAGGGAATTATAATTACGACGGAGATTTCAACCATTAAAATGTTTCATCCTTGCTTCACATTACACTCCGTGAGCCACATCTGAGTGCTCTGCAAATATCAAAGACATGTATTGTAAATAAAAGCACTAGTATGCGGTAAACTCTACGCATGTTGCACGTTTTATCGGTAATGTCGAATTTAATATTGATCTGATTTCAGTTACTCATTACGACAGCTCCGTTTGTTGTGGTCTTGTGTGGAATCCATCGTTCATCGCCTACCGCTGTCGAACTTGCGGCCTTAGTCCCGGAACGTCGATCTGTCCGTCATGCTTTAACGCCGCTAACCACGAAGGTCATGATTTCAACATGTTCAAGTCCCAGGATGGGGGTGCTTGCGACTGTGGTGATGTGACCGTCATGAAGGAGATCGGGTAGGATTGCGAAAGCTTTTATTTTGACCTAACTTTATTGATGCAACCTTTTTGGCTTGTTACCTAAATTTCTTCTCATACAAATGACATCACAGACGAGCTGAATCGAATCAGGGCCATCCTCCGATGTGCATTTTCATCCATACTTCGGCAGTGATTTCTTAGACTCATAGTTTGATTATGAATATAAAAAATTGTACTATTTGAGTGGAGTCGCAAATAAATTCCTGTATTTATCTCAGGTTGCCCGTAACAAAATAGTCAACACAATCAGAACATCCAGCGAAAATTACGTAGCTAGTTTCTACTTTGCTAACGTTGCAGTTTTCATAGATGCGTCAGAAGTTGTCTTTCATACGGGCGTTCAAGAAGATCAGGTATTTCATGCAGCAGCTGGCATTGGTTTTGTTTCCTGTAGTTTTTTTAGTTGTATTTATATGAGAGCTATGCGAAAGTCTTAGTTAAGAAATCAAATCGAAAAATAACCCTGGAAAAATGTTTGTATTTATTCCAAGAAAAGTAAGAAAAATATTTTTGGAGGACAGTAAGTAATGGATAAACAAAAAATAAATAATAAGTAATAATTCCTGGTCAAAGGAATTGCGTGATGAATATGCGCGGTGCCTTGGCTTTTCTGTGTCGACTTTCGTACTTCCTAACTACCCAAGGGGCACTAGAGGTTTCATACCCTTCCTTTTTCCTGACACCTATCATCAAACGACTTTCAGATTTTTTCTCTTGCCCACCATCCGTACTTTTCTGTCTTAAGAATAAACTCTTCGAAGACACTTAGATTTACATGTATCTTTTGTGAATATCGCGAATCATAAGTACTCAGTTCCTGTTCCGCTTTAGTTTGTAATGAAATTGTACTTTGCACTAGACAGAACTGTTTGCTAAAATAATTTCATCAGCCTGAACAGCACTGCCTCGTTAGCCTAATATTCCAGGACTCACTGTAAGCCCACAGGGCAATCACAGATGCTCATGAGCATACGATCCACCGCATTTGCGCCGCCGTACAATGCCGCATGTGGGATTCGCCCCACTCCTCATGATTAGACAACGAGGTTAAACTGTTGAGGGTATTTATTTGCTCTAGGAAAACGGAAGTTCTGTATCTTTAGTAGCTAATAACAGATCACAAAAAATCAAACCGGTATTTTTCCAATTGTAGTCATCTAGTGATGTTCAACCTTAAGGTATATGTCTATGAACCGACGTTAAAGTTAACGTTTATAACTGAAAATCATTGATACGCTGCAAAAATCAAGTGTTTGAGTTGTTCTCATTGTAGACAGGATTGCTTAGGACATAAATCATTCAACATCGAAGTCTTTGATTGTACGAAATGCAGCATTAGTTTATTCTGTCTTTCATGAGCCATGCAGCAGGATGCCTGATCAGCGGTGCTGGCCAGCCTTGCTTTTTTCCCCTTCAACTTTCAAACTGATCTCATCGCCGTTTTGTTTTCCCAGTACTTACGTATCGTTTTTTATTTTGTAATTGCTGCAGTGGTATCACAGTGTTTCAGAATTTAGTGATAGGATTGATGCATATCTTTTGGCTGGAAGCTGAAAATTTTGCACCCATACTTGTTCAATACTTTTCCACTGATTATATCATATAATTTTTTTATTTTATTTGCGGTTGTGCCTTGTACTGATATTAATCAGCTATCTCGCATATTAAGACATTACGCGTGAGACAACATAGCTTAACTCTATAACACCACTAGATCTAAACACCGTGCTGTCTGTGTTTTGGTTAGTTGTGCTAAACGACAGTGACATGAATTTTTTGCTCGATCGTAGGATTAACAGAATTAGCATTCCTTACACGGGATTCACAAGCGGATTTGGTACGACGAATCATCTGCAGGTGATATGACAACTAATTCAGACAAGTAGCGAATAGCGGCTTCTTCTTTGCTTGGTGTTCCTCAGTTTAACGAGGGTTTACAACTGAATTTACAGCGGTTCTGCACTAAATTCCTTGCGGAGCCAGAAAATCGAGAGGTGATAAGACGAGATTATCACAGATTTTTAGAGGAATGCAACTGCTACCGTGAAGCTGCAACGAAAAGGCCAGCAAGTTTCAAATCGAAAAGGCGTCTGACAGGGAGCCGCAATATCAGTGAAGTTATTCACTGCAACCCTAGAAGAGGTT